TCAAGGGATATATATATATATATATATATATAAATGAGAAAGACTAAAATTTTAGTGGGAATAAATGCCTCACTCCCATATGCATGCATCCATCTTTGCCTATGCAATAATCATCTCTACTATTATCATTGCCGTCATTGCATCATTATCTTCATCATTATCTTCGCCATTACTATCATCACTACCTCTACCACCATGATTTTCATAATTGTTACATCATCATTATTACTATCATCACCACTATCATCCATACCACCACTCCTATCCAATCTATTCCAATTATTTAGTGACTTTTATATTACATTAATTTTGATGCATTAAATATTGTTAGACAATCTATTGGATTTGAAGATAAAAAAGGAATGGATTATTATATAATCATTTATTAATGATTCTTCCAATCCATTCAAGTCTTTATTATTTTAACCAAATAGACTGGAGTAGATTATCCTTAGATTGGCCAAATGAATCGCCAATAAATAGATAATTTTGTCATCCTAGTTTTTTACCACACAATTCACTACCCATATCGTTGCAACACCACCTCAGATCTTGGCATTCAAGCACAGAAGGGAATAGACTCCAAGAAAGGACAAAAATGGGCAACGAGATACATTTCTTCGTAATCTACCTACTTTTCTGACTTCAAAACCCCACTTGTTAGGTATCTGTCATTAATTTTGTTAGAATAAAAAAAATAAAAGAAAACTACATCCCCAATTAGAAAATTCTTTTTTTTTTCCCTTGAAAGATTCACGCCCTTCCACTCAAACGCTTACAAGACACGTTAATGGACAAAGTTCAAAGAACATGATGATTTATATGTTCTCTCCATAATCTGCTTCCAAAGACACAAACATTCTAAATTACACTCTGATACTCAGCATCTCAAGATCAGCCACATTCAACACACCAATTGGCTTCTAGCCTCCTGTACATCCCCTCACTTTCCACACTCGATCTGATATAAACACACCCTACCAGTACAACAAATTGATAACAGTAGCAGGATACTCCACTTATACATAAACCAACCTACCTCAATCAGATATTAAAGCAGGTTGTTCAAGTTTCACCAACTACCATGTCATTTGTTGCTCCTTGCATATTCAACCTAAAGGAGTGAATCAAGGTATGAATATTGCCTACGTCGGCCATACTCAAGAAGGCTACCGTAAGTGCGATCCCAGACCCCAATAAACAGGGACTCGGTGTCTGGACTGAAAGATATGCCTGATATCTCCCCAAAGAAATCAATTTCTTGTTCCTTCTCATACCCACTTTTTACATCATAGACATGTACAAAATCTGCAGGCTCTGCCACAACCATATACTGGCCATCCGAACTATACCTTATTGAACGGATGGCTCCAAGGTTGCTCTTCAGCACAGCTACTGACTTAGATAAATTCCGAAGGTCCCAAATCCGGCAGGTCTTGTCCTGGTTTCCAGTGGAAAAGGTCACGCCATCAGGATGCCATGATGATGCAAATGAATAATCAAAATGCCCGGATAATGGAACAATTGTCTGCAAAACAAAAAACATCTTATTAGCAAAATTTTCTGTTATAAGCTCTATTGGGATCCAACTGAATAAAGATTGATTGGTTGTTGGACATAAAGGGACAGCAGTATCCATTACCTTTCCATTTTGGGAGTCCACCAACATACCTTCAGGATTGTCTCCAACAATTAGAAGTAGTTTACCATCTGGGCTGAGAGAAGTATGCTGAGGTAAACGGAGTCAAGGGGGAAATATTAGAAACAAAAGGAAAGATAGAAAAACAATAACACCTATGATCCAACAGAAAGAATATCCAGATTACTACTAGCTTGTTAAATGACCATATTCCAAAGGCAGAGTTATTGACATTCCCATTCTTCTGTTATTTCTCAAAAGATGTTTTAAAATGGTAGTTAGAGAGGAGTGAGAATGGACAACAAAGATTGCCAATTGCCTCATTCATATTGTAGATGTGTGAGCAACTTGTCCTATTGAAAAACTTGCCCCTTAATGGAAGATAATGTAGTCAGATGAAAAAATATTGTAACAAAATTACCAAAGGAACAAAATTAAAGTATCCATTTATCAGTCTTGTGAGGGAAGAGGGGAAATAAAGAAAAGAAAATCTTAAGGACTCACATTCACTGGCCAAGGAAAACGAAATTGCTTAGAAAGCTGAAATTTCTCCATATCAAAGTCTCTGACTCCAGAATCATTATTTGAGGCTGTGAAATGAACTGCACCACTAAAAATCAGAAAACAAGTACATTAAACTAGGCACTTAGATCCAAAAATCAAAAGACAACCCCCAGGAGAAGGAAAACTATATACCTGGGAGAAGCATAAATATCAATGGCATTGGTGATAGCATTATCATCATAAGTTGTTCTCGTGCAAAAGCTAACACCAGGTCGATCTAGGTGCTGCATTCCAGTAACAAAGAAGGTGATAAAATCTTGATATCTGTTGATGGTTCTAAAACCAAGAACAATTCCTATGAGGGACAAGTTAGCAGCATCTAGCAGAGTATCTATAAAACCAAAGCATGTACAGTCCAATCGCAATAATCTATGAAAATAAGCATTTGCAAATGCCTAATGAAAAATAACATGAATGAAAAGATAATGCAACCAATGCTTGTGAAGAGAAGCTGAAAAATAAGACTAGGAAGAATAACGAAGAAGGAAGGGGTACCAAAACTAAGGTGCTTCACCCATATTAAATTAAATATGAAATAACAAGTTTCATGACATCAAAACCTGGAAGAGGCTGCTCAACTCATAGATCCTATAATTTAACTCATGATGCTAATAACAATGGTTTTGATACCATAATAATAACAAACCGAGGCAACCCACACCCAAAAGCTAACTCAAGGGAAGAGAATTGCCCAAATCTCATAAGGAATATTCTAATCATATACCTAAAATGTGGAACATCTTAACATGTTTCATGTTTAATTAATGCCCAGAGGTTCAGGAACACAATTTAAACTTAAAACAGTATCTACTACAGATTACAAAAGTAAACATCACTAAAAACAAGCAAATTGTCAAAATACCTTACAAATAAGTTCACCCTGAAATCCTCCTGCAACTAGAAGCTTCTCTTTCACTGCAAGTGTACTGACTTGAGTGTGAGTAAATCCTTCTAATAGACTTTCAGGATGTTTCTGACAATAAAAAGTGATAACTTGGAAGATTAAGACCATGACTGATCAATTTCATCATAAATGTATGCTATGAACAATCAGAAATCTATGGTATTCATTTAAACAAACATTATCATAAAGGATATTCACCTCTGATGGTGCAACGTGTCCTGAAACATTGAGTACTTCTGAACTTTTGCAAGTCAAAGAGGAATAATGCATTATTGAAAACTGTGACAAAAGGTATACATCATGCTTTGATGTAGCCCATACCAAATTCCTCAACTGCGCAACCATTTAAAGAAGAAATAATGTCAGTCAGCCACCCACAACAGCAAGATCATATCTCCTCAAAAGCCTATCCCAGGACCAATACTGCTTGAGATTTGCATACTAAGACAAACTGTGCAGCAGCTACATATCAGAAGTGTAGACTATCTGGATTTTATTTTATTTTTTTAATTTTGAATCTGTTCAAAGATTTTAAGAAATTTGGCTATCTACTTCAACATAAGGTGCATTAAGCACCAAAAATTGGTAGTGATAGAACTAATAAGCCCATGTTTTATTCTCATTTCAAAATCAGCAGGCTTTCATTAAGGAGGAGAGTTGTATAAAAAAGAGCCCTTTTTCAAAATTTAAAGCATGATCGAAACATGCTTAAAGGCTTACCTGAAAATGAAGAATTGTTGACTTTATTGATCTTGAATTTTTTCTGAAGTCATAAAATGAACATCCTTTTTTGGTATTCTTACAATCCTGTATGTTATAGATAATAATTGGCAGGTCAACATGGTGTTATTCTGTTATGCTTCTGAAAAATAACATGACTGAAAAAAGTTCTATAAAATATCAAAGAGGCTTGACTCATGTCAATTGTTACCTTTCCTGCCTTGTCCCCTGAACCAGGGATATTTTCATAATTTTTGTATTGCTCAAGCCTAGTTTTCCGATATCTTTCTCTAGTGATGCTAAGGCTATTCCAAGGAATTCCCTGGATGTCTTGTCCTCTTCTAGCCTGAGCAGCTGTAACTACCTTACCACTCTGTAACAACACTACAATATTAGTCCTAGAAATCTAAAGATAACCTTATACATAGTTGACATTTGCTTGACGAATCACTCAAGTATGAGGAATGTAATTTGACACCACCACTAATTGCTAATGATTAACCACAATAGGAAACATATTCATCAACATCATATTCATAAAACAGCACAAACTGAAAACTGCAAAACAGCACTTTACAAACCGAGTTATCATATTCATCTGTGTCAGACTCTACACCACCCCGTTCTCTATTAATAGATTCATCCTCCATGTCATCTTCTACATCTTCCATTTCACATTCATCCGCCATATATTCAGTATCACCCTCTTGGTGATTGGACATGTTCTGCCCAACTAATTAGAGCCTACAATAACAAGAATTGGAAAAAAGATAGAAAATAAGCGGCAAACACTAGTCCAGCGTGAGCAACAATTGGGTCCAAAAGTTTAAATGTTTAAGTAAAAAATAAATAAACAACTTCCAGAGTTAAATTATCACCAAACAAGGACCTCTGCGTTGAGTAATGATGGAAAACAAGCATCAAATATTATTCAATTTTATACCTAATGTTTCAATAATTGGAAACTCATATAAGTATAACCATGATTGGCATGTGCTACAACTAGCTATTTCTATGAACCTATTGAAAAGAAGGCAAATACTAAAACACAAATAATTTTTATACAACCCAGAAGTTAGGGTTCCAATAACATACCATCCAAAATCATACAAATGAAATCAAGGACATTTAAAGTTTAAAAAAAAAATTGAACAGATTTTTCTTTCCAAATTCATCTAAAATTTAATAATCAATAGACAACCCAGATGTTAGGGTTTCGATACAATAAAGCCCAAAATTTTATACCAAAAAAGAAAAAAATCAAAGGCATTTTATTTACTATAATTTCTCAAATTCATCTAGAATTTGCCGATAATTGCATATGAATATTACAAAACACAACATAAACTCATTGTTACCGGAATTTAATATATTTGACACGTAAAAATGAAATTGGAAGAGAGAATAGTTGAGCAGAAAAAGAAACGAAGAAATTGAGAGAAGGAAAAGGGCCAAAGGAAGTGAAAATTTGAAATTTCAGAGGATGCGAACCTTTGATGGAAGGAGCTTATCGATCTCGGTACTCACAAATGCAAATTAACGAATAATATAAATAAATAAAGATTATTAGTCTTTCTATTTTATTTTATTTTATTTTAGTGATTAGAATTTTGGGAAGAGAGCAAGAGTTGAAAAAAAAAAAGGTGATAGCGTAGGGTAAAGTAATTGGATCGCGAGAAAGCATGGAGAAGAGAGAAATATCGAAAATGATGGTGTGCTATTGTTTTATTTTGAGATACACCCAAAAATAGAAAGAGAGTGGAGCCATTAAATTATTCCACGAATATTTTTTTCAAAAAATTGAGTTTTAATGTTTTAATATTAAATTTTATTAATTCAATTGTTGAATTAAAAAATTTCATTAATATTTTGTTTGGAGGAGTGGGAGAAATTGAAAGAAATGAGAAGAAAAAAAATAGGTGAGAATTGGTTTTATAAAAAATACGTAGAAAATTAAGTAGAATAAAGTGAAATTTGTAATTGTTTGATAGAATGTAATTGAGTGAAAATAAAAGAAAAATAATATTTTTAAATTATTTAGACAGTTATATTTTTACTTTTATTAACTTTTTTAAAATATACATTTAGATAATGATGTATGGTAATCCTATTTAAGCATTTGAGAAAATTTTCACACAAATCAAATCATAAGAAAATAAAATAAAATTTCGTAAAATATGACTCAGAGAGAGAGAACTTCTTTTTTCTTTCCCTTTCTCTTTTTCCTTTCATTTTTCACTTAGGTCTTCCTTCCTTCCTTACTATTTTCACAGTTGATCACTAAAAGAGGTGAGGAAGTCTGAGCTCTGAGGTTGGGAACTTCAAGCAGTGGTGTGCAAGGGTCATCTTCTCTTCCCCTTCTTTTACCTCGAAGTTCTTCGTTCTCTTCTTCTACTTCAAAGAGCTCGGAATCGAGGTGAATGAAGCTAGACTTGTTTTCTATGGAATTTGTGTAAGAAAATGTTGTTTGAATCATAGAAATTATGACTAGATGGTTGGATCTTGAAGGAAAAATGAGTGTGTTAAGTTGGGTGTTCTTGATGCAAGTTAACGTGAATTAATGATTTTGGTAAAGTTATTATTGCATGTTGTTTATGTGGTTAGAAATGAATTATTTTTTTATGCATATGTGTTGTTTCTACTATTGCATGTTGAGATTGTCTGAGTTTCATGTGTGGAGAGCTAAAATTGCGAAAAAGAAATGTGGTCTCTATCATGAAACTATTGAGCAGTTTGGAAACCGCTGAGCACTTTTCGTGTACTGGAAATAGGTGAGGCTCTGTTAAGAAAATCGTTGAGTGTTTTGGAAATTGTTGAGTGCTTTTTGTGTATTGGAAATAAATGAGTCTCTATCAAGAAAACCACTAAGCATTTTTATGTACTAGAAATAGGTGAGTCTCTGCCAAGAAAATCGCTAAGTGTTTTAGGAACCGCTAAGCGCATTTGCATATGGAAAATAGGGGGTGTCCTTGGAAGAAAACCACTAAGTGGTTTAGAAATCGTTGAGCGCTTTTGAAACCGTTGAGTGCTTTTTAGGTACCAGAATCATGTGTGTTTTTGGAAGGAATCCACTAAGCAGTTTTGGAACAGCTAAGCGGTTTGGTGTTTTCCGAATTAGACTTTGTTGTCTTCACAAAATTTATATCCTTGGATGTTAGCTTTCCAATGACGTTGGAATCACCTAAAAAAGAGGTCTAGAACTCCAGTTATGACTTTTTTAGTGACCAAAGGTCAAGTTGTTAGTATTTAGGTAACCATTGTGGTTTTTACAATTTTCAATATGGTAGATGATGGATTTAGGACCTGAGTTCTTCATGAAAGTTATAGAGAATCTTCTTGTATTTCATATGAGATAAGGATAAGCATGATAAGAGTAATAGAACTCCTTATGCGCTATTTTATGTGAAGTTTTCCATTTTACAATAATTGATTTGGTTAAATTGTATTAATTATTGAAAAATGATTAAGTTGTAATTTGTTATAGTTGCTTAAGTTGATTTATGACATTGTTTTCTCAAGATGTTAATGTTGTAAAGATGTATGTTGTTTAAGTTAACATGATGTGAAGTTAAAAGTTGAGTCGAGTAGTATGTCATGAAGTTCTGTAATTGTGTTAGAATTTTATATAAATAATGTTTATGTGTTGTTGAGATGCATGTTGGTCATAGTGTTGTAAATGAGTTATGGTGATGGTGATATGAGTTGAAAAGTTGTGTGTTGATTGAGTTGTTGTGTTGAAAATTATAATGAGTTGTTATGTTGTTGAGTTGTGTTGTTGAGTTGTGTTAACCACTTAGGACTAGAGGAGATATTTTTTAAAGTTGCATATCCCATTATGTGAATATTGTATTGTAGTGCTCTGAAAACCCAATTTTTTTAAAAATCCTTTTTGGGAAGTTGACCCTTGAAGTGGATATTGTGTTGTCACTCCTTAGGACTTTGTTAGTATCGTGTGTGGACAAGGTCAAGGAAAACGTATATTAAGCAACCATAGTATAGGGGTTAGGTCAAACTATACTGATTACAAGTGACCAACCAAGTAAAGTACGAAGTCGGAAACTTAGTTCCTAACTGAGTATCGATATATTGTAGTGTTTCGAGGATAGTTGGTGGAGTAATTCCATAGGAGGCTTAGTTAAGTTAGTTAATGTCGTGGTAGACCTGTATCCAACTGTTCTATCCTAACATTAGTACTATACTTCCTTGTTTAAGTGACAACATCTAAGAAACTGAGTTGTTGTGTTATGGATTTATATCCAATTTGTCGTTGATCTAACAAGCTCAAAAAGATCATCCTATACTCGATTCAGTAGGATCAAACTACTTAAACTACTCACTCTATTATTGAGATTCATGGAGTGGTGAATCAACTCAAACTTGGAGAATAAAGGTTTTGATGATAACAAAATGTGGATTATGAGAATCAAAGCTGACCAAGAATATCAACAAGTCAAAAACAAAGTCAAGAAGAAAATATGACTATTATGATGTGTAATAGGGATAGCTCATAAGTTGTATTGTTTTGTTGAGCTTATTTTGCATGTGTGTGCTTTGTGCATGAGTCAATCTTTATTTAATCTGACTAAGAGTGAGTATGATGATGAGTTAGATACTTGAAAAGTTATTTTGAGATATAAAACAGAGTTTTTGAAAACTGACTCAAAATAATCGATTATTATTAAATATAATGATTATTCCAGCAACAGGTGAAAAGGATGTCTTGCTGTAATAATCGATTATTTGTGAAATAATCGATTATTCTAGGAATCACTCTCTAGAATAATCGATTATCCTACAAAATAATCGATTAATTTGTTCTTGGTTGATTTCCAGAAATCATGAAGAATAAAATAATCGATTATCCTTTAAAATAATCGATTATTTGGTTCTGAAAATGTTATAAATAGTTTTCACACTTTGAAACTTTAGAACAAGAAAGAAAAAAGAATGAGTTAATAATCAAAAAGGAGAAAAACATTATTGTGAAGTCTTTGTGACCTTCTTAGAGTGTTTTCTTTGTGAAACCAAGAAGTAAAACATTTTGTGAAATGCTTTGTAAAAGATCACCATCATCATCACATTCTTGGAAGAAAATGATTGAGATTTGCTTCTGAATTCACAATCTGATTTGTTCAGCTTCCAGGTGAATTCGTTCCTTTAATTCTTTGTGAAAAATTGTAAATCTTGAGTAAGTGTCTCAAGTGGTAAGGAATTCTTGTAGTGGAGTTTCTACAAGAGGTGCTTTCTTGGGGTCAAGAAAGTGGTTATCTTGAATGTAGGAGTATATGCATGTGTGGTATGCTTGTAAAACTTTTTCATTGAGATAGTGGAACAAATCTTGATCAGGTTATGATTGAGGACTGGATGTAGGTCACATGTGGAGTGGTTGAACCAGGATAAAAGACTTGTGCATTCTTCTCTTACCCTTATCTTTTACTTTGAGTAATATCTTGGTTGTGTGTTAAAGAGAATAATCTTGATTAACATGTTTGTATGCACAACATTGCTTTAAACTGAATCAAAGTGTTGCATATTGATTGTTCTTAACTTTGAACTTTATCAAAGATTAATCAAAAAAGCATATAGGACTCATTTTCACTAGCAAGTCTTTTAAGGAACTTCTTTGAAAATTCATATTAGAAAAGTTTGAATTGAAATAAAGATCCTAAGAAATCTGAAAGTTTTTAAAGTGTCATAGAATCCAATTCACCCCCCTCTTGGATTGGGCCATTCTTTTCTAACACCTATGTTGTAAGATATCTCCTAGTTGAAATGTGTGACGACACATATAATTGTTGTGTTGAGTATGTGTTGAATTGATTGTGTTGTACATATGTTGTGTTGAATTGTGATAAAATGTGTTGTATATTATGATGCTTTGTTACTGTATTATCAAAGACGAGACGATAATGTGATGTTCCTATGTTGTGTGTGTATGTGTGTGTGTATATATATATTATTTATTTTCCTAGATTACCCTTGCATGTTTTCATGTGATTTGAATTGTGATAATCATACGTGGTATGAGAGCAAGACAAAGATAGGACTGGAGTGTCATAGTGGAGGTTACATAGTGGCACTAGAGCTAGATGTTTCGTAGACTACCTATTAGTGATGGAATTTTGTGTAGATAATTATAGTTGCTTTACTAACAACTTATTTGTGTGTGTATATATATATACACACACACATATATGCAAGATCATTGTATGCGATGTTGTATTATAGTATATGATATTTAGTTAGTTGTTGTGTCATTTAGTATAAAGATCATGATGGGTCATTACAAATCCACACGTGTTCACCATAATATCCTTTCAAATTCACTTAAATCCTCTCTTTGAAATACAATTATTTTTATTTTCTTAATAATTTCTCATTTTTTCCTCCATTTTCTACTACATCATCTCCTCATACATATCATAAGTAATACTAATGATGAGATATTTTGCATTCACATGATGTGAAAACAAATACATTTAGCTAAGAATTTTCTATTAAAAAATTCTTCAAATTAAATACAATCACACAATAATGTGAACATAATTAGTTTATTACTTAGTTGGAATACCCATAGCATGGCAAAACAAAAAAGTTTTAATAAGTAAATTATATATAATTTTTTACAATTTTTTTGTTAGT